GAACCATTGTTTGGTCTGATTCTTAGATGTGATTATGGTACACCTAGTGTGATTATGTGATTATGATGCCTCTACCCACTGGTAGATACTGAGATACATTTTTGCTAGAGTTCATCTTTGTTACTATCCTAAACTCCCTTCCCATGGCTCCCCGTGGTCACCACAGGACTGTCAATCTTTGTTCCCCCTGCTGTTTTAGGGTGGCAGTGGTATGCAAGAACGCCCTAGCACTTTTTATCCTAGACAGGGCACTGTGCCCTCTAGTCTTGGACCCCTAAGCTTATGTTGGGTTCCAGTGTTCATTCCTTGGGATGTCACACGAGGCAGGGGCAAGGTGTCTAAAACTTGCTGAGACTTTCTGAGCATCTTGATGGGGGGTTAGGGGAAATGGGATCAGGTACCTGTTTCTACCTGAACCAGGAACTACTAATTTGAAATATTTGTTCACTAATTCTGTGGTGACAGGGTGCTTCCTTCTGACTTCCAGAAAGGGGAATAGTTCTTGGCATAAATAGGAAGATAGGGAAGTAGAACACAGTGTTTAATAAAAGCCTGCTACCACTTTACATACGAATTTTTAAACTCAAACAGGATCACATTAGAAATACTATTCTGGGCCATCCTTTTTTCATTTAGCATGTCTGAAAGTCTTTTTATAAGGAGTACATTTGGCTCTGACTCCTTTTTTTAATGGCTTCATAATATTCCATCATAGAAACACATTGCATTGCATTTCATCATTCCCTTACTGATGAAAACTTGTTTCTGCCATTTTTTTTCTTTTTGATATCTCAGACAAGGTTGTGATGAACGATATTGCATGTGCATCCTAAACATATATTTCTGTGCCTCAGACTGCCTAGAAATGGAATTGGTGGGTCAGAGGGAATGTGCATTTAATGTTCTGATAATATTCACCAAATTGTCCTCCTAAGGGGATATGCTAATTTACTCTCCTGCCACCAGTGTATGAAAGCACAGACCTTTTCAAAACCCACTTTGAGATTATTTCCAGCCCTTAAAAATTTTCATTACGGGGTTCGAAAGCTTTGGAAGGTCACAGTGTTGGGTGTGTTTAGTCTTTTAGGGAGGAAACACTGTTCCCACCTGTTGGCAGTTCTCAGAATTGCCCCAAGCAGACTACAGTTTGAGTTTGGTTTTTATGTGCCTGACAGACCTTATCTTGATTGAACTCCAACCAGGGGTCTCTGGAGGCCATCTGAGGCCACTCTCAGCCACTCTCGAGGTGCTAGCCCCCAGCATATAGTCCCAGCTCCATCTTTGGCCTTTGAATCTTACAAAGGAGACACTGCTGATATTATGGGCCGCTTCCTGCTGGGCCCCTCTGCCATGCTTTCACTACATTTGTGATGCCTGGCTGTCCCGTTCTGCCATCCCACTTCAGGACCTTTGTCCAGGCTGCTGCCTCACCTGGAGTGCACTCACATTCCTGCCCTTTGCCAACATGCCTTTTACTCACCTGTTACTCCTTGCTTAAACATCCCTTCTACCAGGAAGCTACCTGCCTTTGATCCCTTAGATGAAATAGGTTTCCCATCACACATTTTTCCTTTCTAGCACATACATTACTGGCAGTTATTTTTTATTTTGTTTAATTGTTTGATTTAAGTCTGCCTCTCTCAGTAAAATAAGCTGCATATAGGCAAAGGCCCAGCACAGTGCTTAGTTCATAATAGGTGCTTATTGAATGAACAAATGAGACAAATTTTTTTGGCAGAATCTGACACAAAATATCCTCCATATTTTTGTTACCTTGATTATATGTTCCCCTTGAGATGATTTTTTTTTTCATTTCAATAGATATTTGTACTTTTCTTTTGCAGTTGTTGACATTTTTTCCCTGAAACAGAAAGAAAACTAAAGGAAATGGAAACACTAAAAATATGTTTATGTATTGCTGATTATAAAATTATTAAATGTTTTCTGTAAATTTCCAAATAGTGCAGGAATATATGGAATAGAAAATAAAAGTCTCTTCATAAGGCCATCCTCCAGAAAATACTACTAATAATTTGTGTGTCCTTCCAGATTTTTTCTATACATATTAAAATCTATCTAGTGCTTGTTATGTACCAGGTACTATTCTAAAGCACTTTACAAAAGTTAAGTCATGTAATCCTCACAGCGATCCTTTGAGATAAAACTGTTATTATGCCACAGGTGAGGAAATAGGCATAGCAGCTAGTCACATTGCTAACAAATGGCAGAGCCAGAACTTGAACCCAGGCTCCACATGTAACCGGTGGCTAAAGCCATAGCCTATTACAGGTGGTGCCCCCTGGGGTGGGTTGCTGGTGAGGATAGCCCCAGGAAAAATTCTTTAAAAATGAGGGGGAGGGCCTCCCCTGGTGGCTCAGTGGTTGAGCGCTGGGTTGTGAGGCTGCCCACAGCCTCTGCAGCGCAGGTTCGCTCCCTGGGCGCCGGCAAGGGTCCCACAAAAAAAAAAAAAAAAAAAGAAGTGAGGGGTTGCTGATAGAGGGCAGCAAGGGGCACTAAACTGGCCAAGGTCACTGCCCAAATAGTTTACTGGTCACTGTCCGAGTTCTTCACCTGCACGCACAATTGCAAGACTACTCAGGCTCAGGGAACAACAAAGGGATTTAGTTAACAAATCAGGGAAAAACAAAGAGTTACTGAGGCCAATAATGCTCTTTACCTCACCCAAAGCCATGTCCAGTGTTTCCCAGTGGCACAAAAGCAGTTAAAATGGCGTCTTCCTGCCACTGTGGACATGGGGCAGCCAGACTATAGGCCAGGTTTCGACTCATGAAGACAACAAAAGACGCAACACAGTAGATGCTCCATGAGCACAACCCCAGACAAGCACACTCAAAACAATAGCGGTCGAATGACCACACTCACAAATCTCAACAAGACGCCAGGCTCCAGGTCTTCGCCTTTTCTGCCAGGGTGGAGCTCAGTAAGACGCCTGGCGCCTGGGTCTTCCTCTTTTCACCTGGCCACAACTCAGTAACACACCTGATCCCAGGTTTCCTTCCTCTCCACCAAGACCGCAACAACAGCAAAACCGGAAACCATTTCAGTCTCTCAGCTACTTGCAAAGCCCTGACAAGTGGCCACACTCAGGCATCTGAGTAAAAGGCCTGGCTCCAGGTCTCCGTCTTCGCCAGGCCACAACAGCCTTATGGAAGATCGGTGCAGTGGGGGCCCAAACCCACTGACCCCAAATGCTAAATTACAAAAACTGATTGCCCTTTTGCAGCCACTTGTATTACTTATCAGTCACTCCACTCCACTTTTAGCATTTTCCTTGGGACTATCTATCCTCACCAGCAACCCCCCCCACCCGCAACTCAGTCCCAGGGGGCACCACCTGTAACAGAGCAACTGATAAGTAATATAAAGTGCTGCAGAAGGGGGGCAGATGGATTCAGTTTGTGACTGAATTTGGGATTCAGCATGAGGGGTCAGTGGATTTGGGGCCCTGTGCCAACCCACGCCGATCTTTCAGAAGGCTGTTGTGAATGAAGGTGGAGGCTTTCAGCAGCCAACCTTGGGGAGGAAAAGTTCAGAGGCTTTGCAAGTAGCCAAGTGACTGAAACTGTTTCCGGTTTTGCTGCTGTCGTGGCCTGGCAGAGACGGTGAAGACCTGGAGCCCGGCGTCTTACTGAGATGTGTGAGTGTGGTTGTTTGTCAGGTCATTCGACCGTTGTAGCTGCTGTTTTGAGTGTGCTTGTCTGGGGTTGTGCTGGGGCATCCCAGAAGCTCATGGAGCATCTCCTGTTTCGTCTTTTGTTGTCTTTGTGAGTGGAAACCTAGTCTATAGCCTGGCTGCCTCGTGTCCACAGTGGCAGGAAGACACCATCTTGGACACGTGGCCTATTCCGGAGAGGAGCTCTGTGCCCTCAGTGGTGGGAAGATGCTATTTTAACTGCTTTTGTGCAGGACTGAGAAACACTGGACACAGCTTTGGGTGAGGTAAAGGCCATTATTGGTCTTAGTAACTCTTTGTTTTTCCCTGGTTTGTTAACTAAATCCCTTGTTGTTCCCTGAGCCTGAGTAGTCTTGCAATTGTCCCTGCAGGCGAAGAACTCAGACAGTGACCAGTAAACTATTTGGGCAGTTTCCTTGGCCAGTTTTAGTGCCCCTGGTTACCCTGTATCACACACTCCTCTCAGCTGCTAAGCTGGTTTGTCTCTGATACATGGGGAAGAGGTTCTCTACTACGTGTGCCTTTTTATACTTTGACTTTTAAACCATGTGAATGTATGACATTTGAAAACATGGATTAAAAATAAAAGACAAGGGATCCCTGGTGGTGCAAGGAGTTAAGATGCAACCTATGAAGCTGTCCGCAGCCACTGCAGCATGAGTTCAATCCCCAGCCAGGGAGCTACCCACATGGTGCAGCAGACCTCTCCTGTCTCGCCCGCTGCTCCCCTCAGCAGTGTATTTCAGTCAGTCCGCCTGTTCTGTTCCCTGCTGTGTCTCTGGTGGATCCTCTCACCCCCCACATACTTCTGGCCTGTACCCCCATAGTTCTTGTATGCAAAAATAAATAAATCTTAAAAAAATAATAAAAAACCCCAGAATTTTTTAGTACAACAAACTTCCTTAGTCGCTCCTTGGAGTCGTCTCTTTTCTCCACAGACTCAGGCTGGAGGGAAATGGGATTGTGGATTTGCTGACAGTGTTGTACTGTGTCTCTCCCATTCCTCACATCTCTCTGGGTTCAGTGGGTAAAGTTCTAAGGATCTCCAGTCTCTTAACATGCAGTCCTGTGTCTCCTGTATTTTAGCAGGGAGACCTGGAGGAGCAGCACTGACAGGGTGGGGTCTGCAGGTAGACAGTGCTTCCTGGTCCCCCCCACCCACCCACCCCCCTCCTCCTATCTGTCCTTGGTATGCTGCCTTTTTCTGGAGTTAACGGGGTCTGTTAGCTAGTCTGTGCTGCTCTCCAACACCAGAGTACAGTGTGTAATCTATCTGTTTTATAAAGTATCCTGCATCTTCTCTAAGTCCTCAGCTAGATCATGGCCCTGAGAGCGTGTGGCTTGATCATATTCCGAAGACGCCACATCCCCAAGATGGACAACAGTGCAATTGAGTTTCTACTGCTACAGGCATCAAATGGCATTCATCACTGGACTCCTCCCAAAGGTGCGAGGCCAAAGGGGCTGGCGCTTGGGGAAATGCCAGACGTTGTTCTGAACTCCACCCTGCCAGCCCCCCTGCAAGGCTTGCTTCTCCATGACTGTGCAGCAGGAAGAGGGGTGGTGGGCAGGAGCCCTGATCCTTTCTACATACAAGGTCTCCGTGCCAGGCCAGATCATAGCTGGAAATAGAACTTTGTGATTGACTCCCAGAGCGGAAACTGCACCTGTTTTTGTTTTTCTTTTTTGTTGGGTTTTTTTTTTTCTTTTTTTTTTAGCCCCAGCCTCTGGATGAGTGGCTGGATAGGAGAAAAGGAACTGGACTGGGTATTGGGGATTCTGCCCTTGGGTCATTACGGGGCTATAGGTCAGAAGCACAAAGTGAATAGTTCCCAGAGAGAAGGGCGTGAGATGGGAGAGGGATGAACAAGGATCCAGGGTTGATGGAAAACAGAAATGGGAACAGGAAATCCATTTTGCACATTTGAGTTTCACTAGGGAGAAGCAAGGTGAAAAAAGGGACAGAAGTGTCATAAATACTATGAATAGGAATATTCACACTTGTCTCCTGATCCCCTCAGTCACACTACCTAGTAGCTCTCAAAGTAAGATTTCAAAGGACCTCTCCTAACTTTTTTTCCTGCTTAAGCTTGGCGGAGACCTTACGAGGCTAATATGGGCAGAAAAAAAGGATGCTGACCCCAGAAGCCTCCGGAGGGGGCGCCAGATTCCCCCAGGGTGGAGCCCCTATCTACTGAATAGATGCTTTTGGGAAGGATGTGCTCAGCGCCTCCTGAGGGAAGTTAGGACTCCCTGGGTCAGCATCACCTCAGTCACTACCTGCATCCCTCTAACCTTCCTCCCCCCATGCATCACCTGCCGTTGTCCATGGCTATGTGAGGTGCTCTTCAGAGAACACTTCCCAGAAGCCATGAGCCGGACTGGGTTTTTAAGTGCTAAACTCCTGGTTGTTTTCTGTGGGAGCTGTGCTGCAGCAGCTGACTCAGGACACTGCTCTGAGGACCCTGGGAAGGAGGAGGGCTAGGGAATAACCTTGTCCAAACCGAGAAGGGAACAGCTAAGCGTTCCTGTTCCTCATGTGCTCCTGAACCAGGAGGCCTCCAGCAACTTGCTGGAGCCATGTGTTGACAGAGGTTGCCAGACCCCTCCCAGTCCTTTTTGGTCCCTCTGGGCAAGCTGAGAATTTGCAGGGAGGGCCTAGAGGCAAAGCTGAGGGCTGCTTCCAGTCTGCAGAGCTTCAAGTTCTCTTGAAACAGTTTCTTGGCACTGTCTGCTCAGGCTCGGGTCTTGCCAACAAATTTTCTTAGAACTGGCTCTCCGCTTGTCCTTAGTCTAAGTTCCCATCAGGCCTTTCCCTATGAAAGTGGAATCTGGCCTTGCTCAGTTAGAAAGATGAAAACAATTTAGAAAAGCCTTGATAGCTACTTGGAAACAGCTGCTAGTGCCGAAGTGCATGGTTTTGAGCCTGTCTGTTGGCCCTGGGGCTTCAGGGACCAACTGCAGACAGTGTTAAGTCCTCACTGTGGATTGTAGCTGAAGTGCTGCCTCCTCAGCGAGCTCCCACCTGCTAATAGGGACTGTCTCCCTTTGGGAAAATCACATTAAGGTCTCCAAGAGAAATGTGGCCCTTGAGAACACGTGTAGGGCCGCAGCTACAAGCTTGCTTGGTTCTGGATGGCAGCAGACAAGAAAGCAGGTCATGAAGCCCCTATGTGGGGTCAGGAACAAGTATTAAAGCAACAGGAGATACACAGGTAGTCACAGCAGCAGCGTCCAGCAGTGACAGTGGCCCCCTGCCCTTTGAGTGGCCCCCCGGGGAGCCCTGTTAGCTTTTGTATGATTTATAGACAAAGCCGGCACAGGGCCAGGTTTAAGCCTAGTTTACAGAAATATGTGTTCGCACGTGAGAACTATACATCAAGTTACATATTATTTACTGCTTTCCACACATGCGGACTATGTCCAAGGCTACATGTTATCTACTAGGTCACCTGTGCTGGAAGATCATGGCGAAAAACAGTCTGAGAAACTCTGAGAAAACCCTGTTTTTTCACAGGCCCTACACATGGGATGAGGAACTCCAAAGAATAAGTAGAGGTCTGAGGGAGGCCATCTCTCTCACCGTGGAAGAGCAGAGTATTCTAGGCCCATTTTGCCAAACATATAGTCTGTTTCACTCTGCAGAGATGGAGTGAGGAGGGATTGCCCAGACACCCAGAGCCAAAGAACTACATGCCCTACACCCCGTTCATATTGAGATTGCCAATCCTCAGGCTTCCTTTGGCCTAACAATACCTCCAAAAGTCACCATCTTTAAATCATCTGTCTCGGGAAATCTAGCTTTGTTAAAATTTTCTCCTCTTCCTCTTTTCTCCAAATCAGGCCATGTGGAACCAGGAGAGAGTGACTTGGAAACAGCTTTGCGGGAGACAAAGGAAGAAGCAGGCATAGAACCGGGCCAGCTGACCATCATTGAGGGGTTCAGACGGGAGCTCAATTATGTGGCCTGGCAGAAGCCTAAGACAGTCGTCTACTGGCTGGCGGAGGTGAAGGACGGGGACGTGGCGATCCACCTCTCCCACGAGCACCAAGCCTACCGCTGGCTGGGGCTGGACGAGGCTTGCCAGTTGGCTCAGTTCAAGGAGATGAAGGCAGTACTCCAAGAAGGACACCAGTTTCTCTGCTCCACAGCGGCCTGAGCTGATCAGAACAGAGTTACCTCAGTAGGATCCTTCAGGAACCCACCTTTAGCTCCGGGGAAGGTGTTCTAGTCTTTCGCTCCTCACAGCAAAGAGCAGATTGGTTAGTGCGATCAGCTGAGGACTCTGAGAGCAAACAAAAATTGCAGCTGGTTAGAAAGGAAGGTAAAAGAAGAAAAAAAAAAATAAATAAATAAAAGGCCAGGCTCAGTAAATGCATCCTTGTACTTTATAAATACACCTCAAGCAGCTCATCTGGCCTTCTAACCCTTTGTATTTATTTCTTGGACTTTTGCCCATGTTGGAGAGGGAAAAGCTAAAGCGCATTGGAGCTCTGCCCTCAGCCGGGGTGAAACCATGTTCGTGTCCAATCTCCCAAAGAAGCTAAGGCCAGGGAATCAGAATAGGGAGACCCAATACTGCCTACCTCTGGAATTCCAAGCCCTCTCACCCTCTCCCTACCAGTGTCCCCAAAACTGTGACCTGTACTCCGACAGGATATACAAGTGAGTGGGGCCGGAGCACAGGGGTTGGATTTCTTTTACTCACATAACTCTTCCTAGCACCAGGTACATAGGTTGGAGGTGCTCAGTAAATATTTGCTAAAATAATTGGGGACCCAAGAACTTTGGGCCATATCCTAAGTCATGACAGGGAGAGAGGAAGACAGGCAGCCCTAAGCCGCCTGATACACACGCACCAAATTCAGCCCAGTCCTGTCTCCCAGAGTCAATAATGGGCCTTGTGGCATGACTGAGGTCCCTGGCAAGAGGCAGGCCCAGGCCTGAGGGGCTTTCCTGGACCACCCCACAGCCCTATCACTACACTACGCCTCACCTGCAGCTGCCTTCTCCACCTTAGCCAATTCTCGGCATTGGTGTTTCTCTCTCCCCACCTACTCCCTTTCTACACAATTCAACTGTGAGACCCAGAGGTGTGAGAGTTGGGTCTCAGCCCTCTTTTCCCTTGCTACTAGGCCTCAAGGAATACAGGGCAGGTGTTAGAACCTACAGCCCTCCCAGGCGCTGTTAGCAGCTACATTCATGTGGATCTTGTTAGAGAGTTGTTGCCCAATGAAGTGCAGAAGATTGGATGAGAAGGGGCATTGGCAGAGGTCATCCTGGATTACCAGGGTTAAGAACAGCCACCCCAGAGGAAGGAGAAAGAAGTCACCCAGGTCTTAAGCAGGGCTTCCAGATGTTTTCAGTCACTGCTGCTCCGTGCAGACAGGGCAAAAGTACTACGAACAGGATCTTGGAGCTCTGCCAGGGACCTGAATGGTTTTGCTCCTCGCCCCTCTGTGCAGCACTCTGAAGGAGGCCTGCTGCAGGAAGTTTTTGGAGCTTAATGTTCTCTTTCCAGGCCAGCAGAGACCACATCCCACTGATTTAATAAATGCCTGCTGGGCAGTGGTGCCAAACCACAGACTAGCTGCTTCCTAACAAGGGCTGGCTGGCCCTGTGCTCTCAGCATGGGCAGCTGTGGAGCCTCAAAATGCTAAGAACGCATATGTAAGCATTCGAAGGGACCTGGAAAGTGACCTGATTTTGCTGCTCATTTTTATAGCTGGGGAAATTGAGGCTCAAAAAGACCCTGGCAGTTGCCTACCTGTGGGGTGCTTTGGAGATGAGGTGCCCGAGGGAAGTCTTCAGAATAGCTTGGATAGCTTCAGTGTCTTTTCACTGGGCCCTGCAAAATTTTCCATTAAAACCCAGGTACAGTAGAGAAGGTGGGGGTGCTTGTAAGGGCAGGAATGGCCACAGTGCAGGTTTTCTGATCCCATGCAGACCGGGTAAAGGAGGAGTCAGAGTCCTTAGTGGTTTTTTGCAGGTCTTTTTATTGGGGTTCACCAGGCATATGGCAGGCAGGGGTGCTGGGGGGCCAGGAGGCTGGCAGGCCTCCCAGCCCCCAGCAAGTCTTCACTCTATCTGGGCTCTCTGGCATTCTCTGCTTCTGCTTCTTTGCTTCTCTCATCGGCTTCTTTCTCAGCTTCTGCTGGCATCCCCGTGACGCCGCCCTTATAAGCCCAGTCTTAGCCCAGGTGAATCCCATCTACCTATGCCCACACCCTACTCCAGGTGCCCGCCATCAGGCATGCATTCAGGACCGCAAGGATCCATCATCTATCCTGATGGCGGGAGGGCAGAAAACCCTGACATATTCTTTACCCTACAGTGCTTAAATCATATGCTGGCTTTGCAGGAAGACTTTGGCAGTAGGGTGGGACCTGGGCACGTTATAGGAGGTGGATGAGGGTGAGAGAGTGGGACCGAGATAGGGATGTGCCAGGCTTTGCCGTTACCACTGTGCTTCTGCCAGCCAAATTTGCTCAATGGGAACTCAGAGGCCCGGGAGCATTACAAAGTCCACTCACTCCCTCACCCGCACTACCCCCTGCCAACTGGGCAGAGAAGCACTCTGCTGAGGCTGCACTTTGGGCTAGGCCAGGGCTCAGAGGCTTCAGCAGCGTTATACCTGCTGGAAGGTTTTTCTTTTTTTTTCTTTTTCAGAACATGGGGAGGCTTAGAACTGCTCTGAAGTGGGAGATCCCTGCCTCAGCCCCTCTGAGAGCTCACTTGGGATCCTTGCTAGTCTGCCTGCCTCTTGGCTCTCAGAGTCCCTGAGTTCTAGAGTGCGGTCCTTCCCAGGTTCAGTATGTAGTTTCAGTGGGTTGTGTGGCCTGGACAAGGACAGAGATGACTGATGGGGTCGTCCTTTCACTCCACGGTGATGGTGATGGCCCCAAGGATCAAACTTAGGGAATAGGGAGGTAGAGGAGACTGTTCTGGGGCAGAGAGTGGCACGTCTCTCTTCTTTCTACAGGAATCAGAAGAAAGAGGACAGTTCCCTCCTATGGTCTCAGTAGAGGTTGGCCTGGAGAAGGGTACTAGAATCTACTGTTTGGCAATGAGCAGCCTCTTGCCTGAGATCCTTTGTAGAAAAATTTCTCTCAGTATTTCTATGGCTCTTAGCCTCCTGTCTTCAAAAAAACTTTCCCAGAACACTAAGATGAGTGTTCCATAGCTACTTCTCCTTCAAAACTCGGGCACCTTGGTGTAGGGGGCAGGAGGACACAGCAGGTTCTTGGTGACCCGAGCAGACTGGGTAAAGGAGAGAGTCCTGGAGCCTTCAGTTTGGCTTTTCAGGCTTTTATTGGGATTTACCAGGCACATGGCAGGCAGGGGTGCTGGGGGGCCAGGAGGCTGGCAGGTCTCCCAGCCCCCAGCAAGTCTTCACTCTTTCCGGGCTCTCCGGCCTTCTCTGGTGGTCTCTGCTTCTCTTTCGCTCCGCTCTTGGTTCTGCTTCTCTGCTCTCTTGGCATCCCCGTGACGCTGCCCTTATAAGCCCAGTCTCTTAGCCCAGGTGTGCCTACTTATGCATGCCCACACCCCACTCCAGGTGCCCGCCATCAGGCATGCATTCAGGACCGCAGGGATCCATCATCAATCCTAATGGCAGGAGGGCAGAAAAGCCTGATACTTTTTATTTACCCTACACTTGGGCAGTTGTTTCACTACCTTAGCGCGGGAGGGTGAGAGGATTCACCAGGGCCAGAGCCGGGAACAGAACAGGTGGACGGATGAAATACACTGCTGAGGGGAGCAGCGGGCGGCAGGAGAGGTCTGCGCACCATTTGGGACCCTCGCCATGTGGGACCCTCGAGCACCCTCAAACCGGTGCTCAGAGGCTGCAAGCAGCTTCACAGCCCAGTGCTGCGCCACCAGGGGAGGCCCTGCTTTCTTATCTATAACCTGTATCACTGTTTCTCTTTTAGTTCAGAGACCCCTTTCAACGTGACCCAGCCTCCCTCTCAAGATGACCCGTCTTTGGCCTTCTGGCCCCAGACACCTTCCTCCATCCTCTCCTCCCTATGTGCGCTATGTCCCAGACACATCTTCGAAGACCATCATTCTCAGACATCAGAGCTGAGCACTGGCACAGGCAGGCCTGAGGGAAGCTGGTGGTGCAGTGGTCGGGCCTGCATGCCTGCCTTTGTCACGGCCTCAGTATGTGATCTTGGGCAGACTAACTGCTCTGGGTCTGTTTCCTGATTAAAACAAGGAAGCTGGACCAGATAACCTCTCTGGTTCCTATCAGAGCGGATAGTCTTTAGGATTGGCTTGAACTCCTTAACTTACTGTGTAAAGATCAAAATTCTGACAGACTCTACCTCTGTTCAGTTATTCCATGTCTAAGATGTTCTGGTTTTCTGATTCCAAGTTCAAAACGCTAAGTGTAAATAAAAATAACACAACTATTCGCTAGTTGAGAATCAACTAATTAGAGTTCATGCCTGACATAGGATATTAAGCAGTTGTAAGAAAAAAATAGAATCGTATTTAGGTACATTTTTACCTATTAAAAATTAAATTTTAATAAAAACAAAAGCAAAATGCCATGTGAGGGGCTGTCTGATCACCAGGGGGATCTGGGATATGCACAGAGTGGTGGCCAACTGGTGCAGGAGAGAGGATGGAACCATTGGCCATGTTGGTCCTTGCTGGAGATGTGGAGGGCTGACAGTGACAACTCCAGGACAAAGGCCAGGGGGCTGAAGCCCCCGTGGCTGTCTCTGAAATCAGATGCCAATAAAGGAAGAGGAGGAACTTGTGCTTCCTTCTCCGCAGAGGCCCCACCTCCAGTGGAACAGGTACTCCTGGTTGGAAAGTGAGAGGAGTGAAATTGCACCCCCCCAACAAAAAATCTGTTTCCTTCACATATCTTCCATCACCCCTACTTTACAGTTAGTCATTGTGTTTATCCCCAAGGGCTGATGGGGTATCCTCTTTCTGTAGTTTGTTGAATGTCTCCTCAAATGCTGTCATTCCTCTGGTGGGAGTTACAGAGTTACAATGTGAAGAACTATTGTGCAACTTTTTTTAAAAATTAGGTATGGCAATTGGGGTAATTTTAATATGGATTGGGTATTCGTACATATTAAGGAATTAATCTATTTTTGTTTTTCCAGGACATGCATGCTGAAGTGTCATAATGTCTTCAGGTTATTTTCAAAATGTTTAGGGGAAAAATACACATACACAGAATATAGTACAGTAAATACAGCAAAACTTTTTTTTTTTTTTTTTTTAGAGGCATGTTTTATTTGTTTGTTTGTTTGTTTTGTTTAAACATGCACTGGGTACAGTCAGAAGCGCGGGAGGGTGAGAGAATTCACCAGAGCCAGAGCGGGGAGCAGAACAGGCAGAAGGACCAAGTACACTGCTGAGGGGAGCAGCGGGCGGCAGGAGAGGTCT